GTAATACATTCCTTGGGGCGTTATGATAGTCATATTCAGTTGAAACTTGATGAAGATAAAAGGAAAGGGATCATCTTCTGAGTGAGGCCAAAAAATGTATACACATGCGCACTGACACCCCGATATTGTACGATTTTACAATCATGCTTAAAAATGCATAATCACCTCGTACCGGTAACTACATTACATCCTCATTCCATTGCTAATTACTTGTGTTTGGGCTCTGGCGTCGTGGCTTGTTGCAAGGATCTAGCAACTGAGCCTGTAAATAGACAGATGCGGATAGAGGGAGAGGGCAACGCTACCTCCCCAGCCATAGCTCAATAACTTGCAGCCCGGGAGTGGCATGACTCATCTGCAGCACAGCAGAATAATGACGTCAAACAAGCCATGCTCTTCATTCATTCATTGGCATACTTCAATGTTTCGAAAGTTTACGACAGGCCCTCAGGCCTGCGGAGGTTGCAAGTTAATGCATAAACTAAAGCGGGAAAGCAGCTAAAATCAAGCTAACGCAAAAGACTCAAGATCCAGTTCAAGAAATAGCCAACACATAAACCAAGTGACTAAAGCCATGCATATAAAGACGTGATCTCAAGCAAGAGGGGTGGGGGTGGTGATATCGGGCAATGCCATCAACTACCGGGTATATCAAAAGAGAAACAATGCGCTGACTGTGCCTTGTGCATGGACATTGCCCGAGCTGTACTGGTAAGTCTTCCAGCAGAGCACCACTGTACGGCACAACTAGGGTACAGTGCCTGGACTGTCACCACCAACAGGGCAATATGGCAGCACGACAGCGACACACATACACACAGTGCTGCTATCCATGTCAGATGTACATAACCCGTTTGACACCACGCTGAACCAAGAATGCTTATTGGATAAGCGGCTGTACGGCAGCAGCGGCAGCAGCCATATCAAGGCCTGGACCGCCCCTACCGGCACCGGCAAAAGCACCAACAACACGATTGACCAGGTCATTGGGCAAAGGGAAGACAACGGTGTGGTTGTTGTCGGCTGATACGGCTTGCAATGTCTGCAGATAACGCAGCTGCATGGCGCCAGGACTGCGTGTCAACACGTTAGCGGCTTCCTTCAGCGCACGGGAGGCTCTCTGCTCTCCTTCAGCGGTGATGGCCTGGATAGACAAAGGAAGTTAAACAAAACATATGTGTGCAGCTGTTCACAATGATGCCACAGCAACACTACATGACTGTACACTCATGTCATGACCCTGATAGTACTGCACACACTCACTACCAATATTTCACGTGCATGCCTGTACCACACTTTCTCATCGATGTTCATTTGTGAGCTGCTCTTTCCTTTCCTTTTGATCACTATAAGCCGACTTCTTGCTGATGCTCTTCAAAGTGATGCCTAGACTCTCCATTACCACAGAACTGTCATCTATTGTCTCGGTTGTCTCATTGTCTTTCTGCCTGGCTGCTTTCATTCTTACTTTCCTACCCCAGCATGACGCATGCTCTCTGCTTGCTGTTGCCTGCTCGATCCTTCTCTTCGAAGCTGCTCACATAGACTTCAGCTAGTATATACAGTTCGCTGACTTGGCCAGATATTGATTAGGTTTTTGGATTAGAGTAGCTCGAACTTGAATAGACTTTGTTTTATAGGAGTCCCGCTACCGCTCAAGCGGACTTGTCCACTTGAGCCGGGTTTGGCCTTGCTGTACCGGACCCGAGGGCTTCGCAGCCCTGATTTCTCTGTGCCGTTTTGGTCTGAGGTACGCCTTAGTGGAATGACCAAGAGTCACACATATACTTTGTGCCAACGGGCTTGGGATAACTCACACGTAGGGGCGGTCATCCAGCCACGACGTTCATATCTCCCCTATCCGGACCTAGCATTTACCGGCACGTTAGTCTACCGGGCAGCCTGTGGGTAAGTTTTAGTGGACATTTTACTACTGTAAGTCTACGAATTTTCGCCCAGTACTGCTGCTGATTGTATACACTGTCACAACGAACCTTGCAGAAGACATTTTTTGCCGCAACAAATTTTCGGCCAAATATGACCAGGCCGAAAATAGCCGAAAGTAAATACGCGCCGAATATTTGTTGACTTACAGCACTCTGTTGCAAATTTTGTGGAAATAATGACATCACATGCCAGATCTCTGGCCCTCCCTCATTGAAACGTATGTGATTCAGAGTTGCGCACAGGTCAAAGTTATGGGCAGTGCCTGGTCCCTGACTGGCCGGATAAGAGAGATAGGAGTGGTTGTTTTTCAATTTATATTATATTATTTTTTCAATTAGCAACGATGTGCCATCAACTTCAACCTGGTCTCGAGGCACGGTAGCTAAAGGGCAGGCCAATCGTACCTTAGCTCTGGCATCACGAGCAGCTTCAGCCTCAGCAGCCATGGCTCTCTGGAGCTTTTTGGGCATCTTGACATCTTTCCTGCATACCACAGCAATGGAAACATGCACAAACACACACAGAGAATTATTATAAGGGTTTACTTTCCAGGAACACGAGGGGAGCACGGATGCAGCGAATGGGATTTTCGGTCTTTGACCACTTTGTGGTGGGTCTGATCTACTCACCTCCCACCGCTTAGAGGCGATTTACACGACGGCAGGATTTATCCCGTGCGTGATGCTACCATGGAGATTCAGTCACATGTACTCATATTCTGGCGCGAACGTATCCTGCTGGCTATCCCGGTACGGTCCCGGTGCCATGAGGGGGCTGGGGGGTGGAAATGCATACCGTGGCATTCCGTGGACTGTTTTGTACTACAGGTACTGTACGTGCATCCTGCCATGTGAATCGATTTTCGTTTTTCCCATATCACGGCAAGCTCTCGAGATCACGTGCTTCTCTTCCCGGCGGAATGCACTGCCGTAGTGTAAATCACCTCTTAGGAGCTGTGCCTGCGCCTTGATCCATAGACGGTGATGGCGTTCCTGCGGATGCGGAAAACTAGGCCAGCAGCAGAGTCTCGCGATATAAAAAACAACAACTTTCCATTATTGCAAATGTACATATACTCGCCACGTTCGAATTTCTTGTTGACCAGAGACAAACGACTTGTAAAGGTCCCAAATTCCCACTAGCATTCAGCAAAACACCACACAGGTTTCCAGTGGGGTGCAGCTGCTGCTACCTCTCCCACTGATAGAAGAGAACTTTCAGGCATACAGCCTGGTCCATAGGTAGTTGGCACTTACACATCAATGCGCTCCACCTTGACACCCCAAGGGTCGGTGGCTTCATCCAGGATCACTTGCATACGGCGACTAATCTCCTCGCGGTTGCTGATGAGCTCCTCCAGAGTGACAGTTCCTAGAATGTTTCTCAGCGTAGTTTGAGCCAAAAGCCAGGTGCTGTATTGAGCGTTGGCAACATTGGTTACTGACATAACCGGTTGGAAGATACGGTAGAACAGGACACCATCCACGGTCACTGTTACATGGTCCTTGGTCAGAATCTACAGCATAGAGTGGGAGCACAAGCATCACAGTTCATATTACACAGCTCAGTGTGGCAACACCACAGTTCATATTACACAGCTCAGTGTGGCAACACCACAGTTCATATTACACAGCTCAGTGTGGCAACACCACAGTTCATATTACACAGCTCATTGTGGCAACACCACAGTTCATATTACACAGCTCAGTGTGGCAACACCACAGTTCATATTACACAGCTCAGTGTGGCAACACCACAGTTCATATTACACAGCTCAGTGTGGCAACACCACAGTTCATACATACTAGTAGCTCTGAGCCTCAGCGTGGGTGCACAAACATCACAATTCATACATGTATGGCTCATTGTGGCAACACCACGGTTCACATATGGCTCAATGTGGGTGCACAAACATAACATTTCATATCTGGCTCAGCATGGGAGTAATATGGGCTTTTTTGGGCCCAAATTCTTAAAAAATGTTCCGGGGGGGGGGGGACCTCAGCTCTTCAAAGTTCATGGCCACACCAATGCGGAATACGTTCCTGCGCTCCCTGACCGTATACATATAGAAGTACAGCAAAGTCAGGCATTTGCGTCAGTTCCAGACACGACCAAAAGAGGAAGACACCCAATTATGCCTATGTGTTCCTTGAACTGCACGTTGTGCAGCTGGGTGATAATCGGTAGACTGAGAGAATGCTTTGCATCTGCTTGAAAACTGATGGGCACAACACCCTGACTCAGGACTCAAATTGTCTCCAGCCCTCTCACTGATCATGATGGTTGTGAACAGAGAGCTCATGCAAACCTTGAAGAAAGAGTACACGCAGCCTAGAGTGTGCAGCTTCTGACTTTTTCTGCACGAGTGTGTCATGGCGAAATTCCGCGATTGCATATACACCACAGTACATACAGCTAAGAGGCGGGACGTGGCGAAGTGCGCACAACTGAGCTGCAGCCATGCAGCAGGGGATCCGCTTGAATCCTGCTTGCACGCACTCCATCACTAAGATGATGTGATCCAGGAATTTCGCCGGGACAGAAGGCGTTCGAGCTGCACATTCTGGGTTTCATGTACTCTTGCTTGAAATACTCTTACTGCAAAATAATGTGTACTTTGGGGTACAAATGACTCAGTAATATTTCGAAAACACACTGACCTCCTGTGGTGGGACATCAGAAACCTGCGTTCTAAGATCAATATTCCTCAAGTCATCGATGCAGGGCAGGACGAAGAACAAGCCTGCAGTGAACACAGTACAGGTGCATACCACTTGTACATGTACTTGTACTTACTCACTGCCAAAACTAGTCGCGTGGGTCTCCCCGCGAGAGGGGAGAGAGACTCAAAAGGAATCTTGCAAAGATGACTCAATTGGCTATTGTACCGCCCAACGGCCAGCATCTCCTGAAATCCCCCAAAGCTGGGTGGACTTGGAAATACTCCCTCTTATGGGTTCACCACACAGATGTAGGTGGGCGAGGACAAGGTGCAAAAAAGGACATACACACACACACATGCACTGCATGGGAACAGTGCATGATCCAACTTTTATTTTAGCATTGAGCGAAATCAAGGTGCATTTCGAGTATATTACCGTATTTTCCGGAGTATAAGCCGCACCCCCCCCCCCCCCCGGGTGAATTTTGAGTGCTCAAAGTGTGGCTTATACTCCGGAAAATACGGCACATACGGCTTCACATTCTAACATTGATAGTTGGAGTTCGACATGGTGCTGAACAGTTTGTTGTACACTAACCAATATAGATTTGACATTTGACTGAAAACCTGCCGCTGTTGTGCTAACAGCACTAACCAGGCAATCGGTCACTACACAAAATAGCAGGGGATAGGTGAAAATCCATGATTGTTCTCAGCACTATTGGGTGTGGAACACAAGTCTGTGCAATGCCTTACCGGGGCCCTTGGCATCACCGGAGACAACGCGACCAAGTCTCATGATAACGACACGCGTATATTCGTTGACCAGCTGATAACATGTACACGTGCACAGGTACACACACGCACACCCACACGCACACACAGACGCACACACACACACACACACACACACACACACACACACACACACACACACACACACACAATAACAGTCACTATGAGCTAAACAGGTACTAATAGTTGACTGCAGACTGAGCATCTCAGATAACAATGTGACGATGTCCACATTGTGCTAATCAAGGAACCTATAATATAAGCTGCACTGCAGCAGTACTTACTGATGGTCAAAGCCACATTGTGTGATGCACCGCATGCCACTTGGCAGACAATAATTTATAATTGTATTTCATGTTGTACATTATACATGCATCCCGTACCCATACACAGACACACAGACATATGCTCCAGTACACACACCCGTGCACTATCTGATGATGTTTCCCCTCATTCGCGGTTAGACATTTTCCCCAGTTTGCCCTTTCCAACTTCCCGCTTATCTTTTCCCCCGTTGACTGTCGAACATTGCCCCACAAACCTTTTCCCTGCTACCTTCTCCCTCCCACCTTTTCTCGCTTCCTGATTAGGCTGTACTCCGCTGACCTTTACACGCTCACTTCGTACCAACCTTATGAGATGGGATACTGTAAAGTATACAATGAGTATAAACTGCCTAATGTTTGCTAATTTTGCGAGAAGAGTATAACGCAAATATTAACCACCGTGAAATCAAACTTCAACAATGGGTGTACCGTATTTCCTCGATTAATGGACCATGCTCGAATAATAGACCATGCTCAAATAGTAGACCCTCCTGGAGGCCTCACGGAAAAATAGTAGACCATGCCCGAATAAGAGACCCGGTCTCTTATTTGAGTTCATCGCGTTGCGCATGCGCACTAAGAAAGCACGTGGTGGATCAAAAAAGGACGCGATTTTCGGTTGCGCAACTACAATTTTTGTAGTGGCTAGTGCTTTCTTTCATTATTTGAGCATGGTCCACTATATGTTCATCGGCACATCGCTGGAAATGGTGGATTTTTAACACGTCATAATATAGAAGTTCTATATTATGACGTGTTAAAAATCCACCATTTCCAGCGATGGGCCGATGAAAATATAGTGGACCGTGCTCAAATAATGGACCCTACCCAAATAAGAGACCGGGGGAAATACGGTATATGTGTGGCCACAGTGCTCCGCAAACACTTGCCATAGTAAACTCGCTGGTTCTGAGAGATCACAAACATTTAGTGACACAAACATTGGGCCGTTTACAGTATACCGGTACTCGCTTGCCCCTATTCTAATCTCACTCTGCTCGCTCGTGATCATTCGACTCAACACCCCGAAGACTACAACTGATGAACATTAGATTTTAGGGAATAGGGGAAGTATACCCTAAAATCAAATTTTCACCAGTTGTAGTCTTCGGGGTGCTGAGTCGAATGGTCTTGGTCCGAGGAAGCTGACACGCTCTCTTCCTCCTTTATTCCCAATCGAACTCGCCCACTTCCACCGAAACTGGGTGACTGCGCCCTACTAGATAGGGATTTGTATGGAAAAAGTCACTAAAAACGCCGTTTCGTTCTTATAAAAGCACGGATGACCGCGATTGGTCCATATGTTGAAGTCTTTTGGCCGCTGAGTCGACTGGTTTTGGTCCGAAAAGGCTGCGATGCAGCGTTCGGCCCTTATTCCCAACCGAACACGGTTGAGTAAGCAGTCACGTGCTCACGCGTAGACCAGTCGCCTGGTCACCATGCCTGCAGGCTACAATTTTCGCATCAAGGTTCAACTCAAAGGTTCAAAGCAGGGAGTCATAAGAGGCTTTTACGACTCCCTGGTTCAAAGGTTCAACTCGAGTGACATAAACGGGCCCACACAGGCTGTAAATGAGCACGTGACCGCTTACTCAACCGTGTTCGATTGGGAATAAGGGCCGAACGCTTCATCGCAGCCTTTTCAGACCAACACCAGTCGACTCAGCGGCCAAACGACTACAACATATGGACCAATCGCGGTCATCTGCGCTTTTATAAGAACGAAACGGCGTTTTTAGTGACTTTTTCCATACAAATCCCTATCTAGTAGGGCGCAGTCACTCAGTTTCGGTGGAAGTGCGCGAGTTCGATTGGGAATAAAGGAGGAAGGGAGCGTCTCAGCTTCCTCGGACCAAGACCATTCGACTCAGCACCCCGAGGACTACAACTGGTGAAAATTTGATTCTAGGGTATACTTCCCCTTTAAACTTCCCCTTTAACCGATATAAATTTTTTCAAACACGAGATATAAAAATAAGAAAGCGATGAAATGCTAGGCAAACTTTACTTGAGCATTCAGCTCTCCTCTCGAAAGTGTATTGGTTGTAGATACATGTATATCTCGGATTGGTATAAATATAACATGAGTTGTTCTTGCTCTTACCTTCACAATTGCCAGTAGTGATATGGGAAAAAGGAAAATGCATAAAAGGATGGAGAACGCTGTGGCAATCGTTCTCCCAATCTCAGCCTCGCCTTGAGCTACTGTCCTAACTTGAGGCTCTGACGGTCCGCCCGCAATGGAAGGGCGACCTTTGAGAACTCCGGTCTCGTCGCAAGTCGTCTCGACCATCATTCTGGCTGACTTTCCAACTCAATTGTAAAGTGCGAAAGAAACCACAGAGCGATCAAGCCAGAAGATCAAACGCAACGGAAACCAACCCCGCCAAAGGAAAAATCACTCCAAAACTGGTTGTGGCAAAAGTCCTGTAGTTTTGCAGGGTAATAATTTTATCACTCAAGTATCAACTATGGAGTAGTAAAATTTTACTACATGTGCTACCGCCTGTACGTATACTACATGTACAATCAAGAGTACGAGGGGTTATGTACTCTTGCTACAATGCTTCAGAGGTGGTTGAAACTGTAAGGTTGCGTTCTTAAATCCTCTCGGAAAAGTTGGAGACTCTCCGAAAAGTTCGAGAGCTGTTCTTATATCCTCTCGGAATTTTAGGAGGCTCTCCAAAGCTCTCGAAGCTTCAGAGGTGGTTGAAACTCGGAGATTCCCGCGGTTTCGGATCAGCGCATGCGAACTAGGCTAAAAGCCACGTGTTGATCATGAGTGTACGCATTTTCCTTTTCACATACGCACAGCGCATACTATTTTCGTGGCACTCAAGATCACGGTCCCTTTGGCGCTCCATTTTGCTTGACATCTGCAAAATATCTCCGAATTCTTCGAGACCCGTTCTTGAAGAATCCCAGTTTCTTCGACTTCTCTTTTCTTCTTCTTCTAGAAGCTGGATAATTTAAGAACGCACCCTAAGTTACTTACAGTGTACTTGGAGATTCCCGCGGTTTGGGATCAGCGCATGCGAACTACGACTAAAAGCCACGTGTTCATCATGAGTGTACGCATTCCCTTTTCGCGTACGCACATACATTCATCACTCAAGATCGCGGCCCCTTTGACGCTTCATTTTGCTTGACATGTGCAAAATATCTCCTTCGAGACCCGTTCTTGAGTAATCCCAGTTTCTTCGACTTCTCTTTTCTTCTTCTAGAAGCTAGAGAATATAAGGACGCACCCTAAGTCTCGATTGAATGTAGTGGGAGAGATCTGTTTTTTGCACGCTTGAGGATGGACTGGTACTCTCCGTAGACAACTTTCCGTAAGTGGAGTACAAACTCGCGAATTCACGGGTTTTCCCCGCCCACTAACGTAAAGTTGCTCAACTTTACGTAGTGCGGAACCTCTCTAATATCACGAGTAGATCTACATACATGTACAATGTAGTTCATAAACCCAAACTCAGAACAGTTTCGATGCACTTTAGTCTTGGTAGAATCAACTAGGGAATCGTCAAATACCGGTATTTGATGACTCCCTGGTATCAACCAAGACTCAGGCAAGAGTCCATGGCCTAGCCCTAACTTGAACTTCTAAAGTTAGTCTTGCCAATACAATACCAACATCCGATGATCTTGCACCGGTACATGCTGAATTAACTTCCCCTTTAATTAATGTGGGGCCGCAGTTGGGATAAAACAAGACCGCTCACCGGCGCGGTGACATCATGCGGCTGATGTAGATCTAGACTCCAGTGAAAACCAGACTACGGTCGTGAAAGCCAGGATTCCCTGGTGAAAACTCTTTAGGACGGCGAACACTAACTTGACCAAGGCCAATGGACCAGTGCCCGATGGCACTATTTGTTCACAATACCCCGGCACAGATAGCGGTAGCTCTTCGTACCCATAATTATTTTAAAGCTATGAATTTGTATACCCAGTGAATGCACAGTGCAGTGGTTTATTCAATAGAGCTATGAACACTAGTTTCTCAAAGCGAAATTTTGTATTATCCGTGTAAGTTTCTCAACGAGGTTTCTAGTGTATGATGCATACTAATAATGTAGGCACTATTGTTATTACAAGGGTTTAGTGTAGTAACCGATAGCCTGTGATGTGGGCCTGTAACCGTTATGCGTGCGTGTTAGTGTAGACTGGAGAGTCTATAATATTATGACACACACATGATGGGGTCTATGCAACTCCCTGGACGGTACATGTACCCGGGTAGATGCAAAGGCAGTGACATACCGGCATGCAAGAGAAGTTATGTACTCTTGCATGTATGTAGGAAGAACCCTACAACTAATAAAAGGAAGGACAACGATGTTACGAGTAATGACAAACTGTGCATTAATGCAACTGAGATCATAATTACACAGTCCGCTAGTGCAACAACATGGCACAAAACTGACGAGGAGTACTGACACATTCAATGGCATGATACCTATTTGAAGTAGCTCCAACACAGGACTCAGCCCGGGACCGAAGAAGAATGCCAAGTCTTGGAGGATTTCCTCAAAAATAGAAATGAGAGTACATATAGCGCAATCGGTTATGTGGTCAGCAGTGCATGACAGCAACTGCACAGTAATAATCCACGGCTGCAGTCTGTTCTGGTGTGTCTTACATGCTATGGCTTGCTTGATAACGTTACGCTGCAGTCTCTAGCCTGCTCCGCCTACTACTATCACACCTAGCTAGTAAGTACATGTAATATGAATACGAGACAACGTTAGTAACGATAAAAATAGGTCGCTGCCGTGGAGTGAGAGCCCATTGAGCCGGCAGCGGCAGCGTGCAGTATGGCTGCAGAAGCCGAAGTGATAACTTAAGAAATCATCGGATGAAACAATTATGCATTATCACGGTTCCAGCAATATTCAATGATAATAGAGATCTCAGCAGTGCTGCAAATAATTTGACTGTCCAAAGTCTGTCCCATATTCATCCTGTATCCAAAACCAAACCCGAAAAGGGACTTCCAATTTTCCAGTGAAACACAAAGGATTATTGCGACTGCATGTATTGATATGCGTGCGGTGGCAATGGGTGAATAAATAATTATATGACACGAGTACATGATTGCATGGAACTTACAGTGATGATAAAGGATTAAAGATTACATATATAAGGATTAAAGATTGATTCATACCCACTTACTGGTACAATTGCTGGGCATCTGAAAAAGATTTCCGCGAGTTTGCATGAGGGTCGTATTTTGTAGCGCCGAGTCAGTGTGTTCATTGTCCGGTTGTTCTGTACGTCACCGCGGATCATCATAGTGTACACTCACGGTGTGGTTTTCAGCTGCAGATCATTGTAAATTCACATTCATCAGGCCCGCCGGAACCCGTCCGGTTGGTCAGGTCGCCAACCGGGACCAACTTTGTTAGCCACCAACGCATGTTCACTGCTGAGGAGGTTGTGTGTACTGCCCGCTGTATTATACACAAAGTACGAAAGACTACGGTGATGCCGAACGAATCAAAAACATCTTCCGGTGACCCTGTTCACACGTGTAGTAGCAAGCAATTAATTGCGTCAACGGAGGCTGACAGCCGGTTCACCATGGCAGTACTTCCCCGGTATGAGACACAAAGGCTCCATTATGCTCCTCATCTAGCTTACGCACTTGTGTCAATATGCCGCGTACGGAGTCGGCCACTTCAAAATCAGCATTCGCACCGCCCATTCCTGTCTTCACCCAGCCGGGATGAATCAGTAAGGAAAGAATACCAAGTGGCTGCAGTTCGTACGACATGACCCTTGCCATCATGTTCAATGCCGATTTGCTGCATCGATACGCATACATCCTGCACTTTGTGTTGTGGACTGCCTCAACGCGTCCTTCACTGCTCAGGGCCACTGAGCCAAGTCGTGAGCTTACATAGACCACTGCGGCCCTCTGGCTTCCCAGCGCTTCACTGGCATTCTGATCTGCAGCACGTTGTAGTAGAGGCATGAAGGCCTGCGTCAGCAATACTGGCCCTATTGTGTTGACTGACAAGTGCTCAAGCATAGCCGCACTGTCCAGTTCACTGATGTTGGCATGCCTATCAGCTGGATCATTCAGCCCACTGTTATTGATGAGTAAGTTCAGCCCCAGCTCTCCCACAGCCTTCTCAACAGAATCAGCAATACGTTTGATTCCACATTCGTCTTTCACGTCAAGTTTCAAGAGATGGAGTTTGGGGTGTTCTTTCGCCAGCGATTCCAAATCCGCCATAGTGTCACTCCCTAGCGGCGCACGATGTGTAGCGAATAGGAAGTCTGGACTACCAGCAACCACGGCAGCAGGACTAGTCGCACCGGACTGCAGCATTTGTCTGACTATTCCCAAACCAATACCACGATTTGCTCCGGTCACTAACACCGTGCGAGGGAAGCTAGCCGTTTCAGCCATTGCTGAGATCCTGACAAATAATTTAATTCTGGCGTTCAAAGATTTCGGATGCTATGTAAAACTGTACTGGAGAAAGGGAAGGTTCCAGACCCGTACCCAGCCTTTACTTTATTCACTGTATTGTAAGGAGAGTATCGACCCCTGGGTCTTCTTACTTACTTGCTCTTCCGTAAAAATAATTCTCTCTTACTGTGGGATCACTATTTTTTACTGTGATTGTACTAGAACTGAAGCAAAAGAAAGTAGAAGCGAATAGAAACTTACTACATGTACTTCTACCAGGCAGTAGACAGTAGCTAGCAAGAAGATGGGCCTTGCCCGAAAAATCGGATGTGAGATTTTATTCTTTTTTCAGTGTGGCTAGTATCCAGCCCGCAGCCGGCCGCTTGGAGATTGTGCTGCCTTGTGCCAGTTGTGGAAGTTAGTTGTGAGCAGGGACACAGTGGTACACGGACCGGTTGTGTCTGAATTATTTGTGAGGATGTGCAAGCCAAGACTCTTTGCCAAGAGTCAAGAGTGAAAAAAACCCATGAAAGTCATTGCCTTGAAAAATGACCAGTGACTGTGTACATGCATGTGCATGACTGACGATCATGGTGTTATGTAGCGGCTTTTGCAGCTCTCAGTCTCACTCAAGGTCTTCGGCACAAGTGGTCCTATCTAGCCAGGGTAATGGAGCATTTTTTTTTAAATTTCGGCCAGTCTGCTACTATCATTTCGTCTTGGGGGTTAGACAAGGGGAAGTAGCCATGTAGGGGCGTTAGCCCGCCTTTCGGCACCTCGAGTTGCAGCTTGCAAGCCTTTGGAGGATGCTCTTCGCAATCGATTTCTGCCTTCCCTCACGGGACGACCAGCACCTGGGGAAGAGGAAAGAGCCGCGCTAGCAATGCCCTGTCGACATGGAGGTCTCGGGATTATCAACCCCACCTCCCTTGTAAGCCAGTACCAAGTGTCTGTAAAGGTCACACAGCCACTCGTTGACAAGATCTTGGTTCATGATGCTCTTCTTGGTGATATCCCTCAACGTATGAGAAGCATGCTATCCTCATGCCACGCTGACATCCGTCGTGAGGAGCAGCACGTTGCCTCAACTATCTCCCAGCAGGCACCTGAGCCGCTCAAGCGCTCCATCGCTGCCGTCCAGATGTTCGTGTGACAAGGGGTTTAACGTCAGCCATGCCCTCTCATGTCCAACTGGAGGGCTACCCATCCATTCGCCACAATGCCGTCAGAGACATCATCGCCGACCTTTTGAAGGGCGTTGCCCATGATGTCGCTCTGGAGCCCCACCTGCAGCCGCTTCCTGAGTGCTTTCCTCTTCGCTCTAATTCAATTGAGGATGGTGCTCGTCTGGATGTTGCTGTCAGTGGCTTATGGGGAAGTCGATTCGAACGTTCTTTTCTAGACATCCGCATATTCAATCCGCATGCACCGAGCAATGTCAATCATCCTTGCCTGCCTCCTACCTCCATCATGAGAAGGAAAAGCGAAGAAAGTATGAGCAGCGAATACTGCATGTTGAGCATGGTTCTTTCGTTCCAGTGGTTTTAGTTGCATCAGGTCATGGAAAGGCTGCCCAGAATTTGTTCAGCCAGATCGCCTGCCTCCGATCAGAGAAAACGGGAGAAGATTTCGGCACCACGCTGGCTGTCATCAGATGCCGGTTATCCTTTGCTCTGGTCCGAGCTTCCGTGATGGCTCTGCGAGGCTATAGAGGTCGCCGATATGTTGACACTGCGGACACCGGTGTTCCGGCAGTTCTTGCAGCCGCTGAACTTGGCTGCCCATTGAAATGCTTCATAACACTATCATAATATTATTATTATTATTATTATTTGTAAGAAAGGTTTGCTCCCCACACCGGAGCTCGCGCTATTCCGCCGACTTTACTTGACACTTGACTGACTCACGACTGCACAATCTTCCTCAGCCTACTCAAGCTCAACTGATGAGGGGTGAATTCCCCGAAACACTGTGTATTGAGCAGGGAGTGGTGCTTTCTTGCAGGTTTGCCGAGTCGAAGGTTCGATGGACTTCTCGTGTGCTCTGGATGGCAGTCGTGAGTCAGTCAAGTGTCAAGTAAAGTCGGCGGAATAGCGCGAGCTCCGGTGTGGGGAGCAAACCTTTCTTACAAATCATCGCCGAAGTCGCAACCACTACTTCGTATTATTATTATTATTATTATTATTATTAGGAGAAAGGGAAAAGGACATATGGAAACGAGTTAAGAGTAACTCTCCACCACTGTAACTAGATACTATATACAGTCAGAAAGTGCAACAACTAGGCACAAAACTGACAGAGTACTGAGACATTCGACGTCCTGACACCTAGCTTCAACACATCTCCGTAGCGCTAACCGACAGCCTTCCAACTTGGAAGGTTCGAGGTTATGGAAAGACCAAAGAGGGGAAGGCAAGCGCAACGAAAACGAGCACAAGCTACAGTCCCAACGGAACAAAGAATGTCGATTGTCACTGGACGATGACGAGACCAGTAGGCGATTTGACAAAGCGGTCTAACTACAATTCGAAGCAGCAAAGCAGCACACCACCCAACTTGGGTGGGTCAAAAATATCAAAGATAAGTTAAGAAGGGGGAAGCTTTGCGAGAACGAATTGTACAAGCCGAAATCTAAACTCCTACAGTACTCCTCATGCATGACATTGTGATGGACTAGTTAACTACAAAACAAGTTGTTTCACACGACGTACGTTTCGCCGTATGGTTCGTGACGGCTCATCAGGTGTGCAATTTGAAACTCGGGTATTGAGCCAATAATAAAAGGAGAAAGGGAAAAGGACATATGGAAACGAGTTAAGAGTAACTCTCCACCACTGTAACTAGATACTATATACAGTCAGAAAGTGCAACAACTAGGCACAAAACTGACAGAGTACTGAGACATTCGACGTCCTGACACCTAGCTTCAACACATCTCCGTAGCGCTAACCGACAGCCTTCCAACTTGGAAGGTTCGAGGTTATGGAAAGACCAAAGAGGGGAAGGCAAGCGCAACGAAAACGAGCACAAGCTACAGTCCCAACGGAACAAAGAATGTCGATTGTCACTGGACGATGACGAGACCAGTAGGCGATTTGACAAAGCGGTCTAACTACAATTCGAAGCAGCAAAGCAGCACACCACCCAACTTGGGTGGGTCAAAAATATCAAAGATAAGTTAAGAAGGGGGAAGCTTTGCGAGAACGAATTGTACAAGCCGAAATCTAAACTCCTACAGTACTCCTCATGCATGACATTGTGATGGACTAGTTAACTACAAAACAAGTTGTTTCACACGACGTACGTTTCGCCGTATGGTTCGTGACGGCTCATCAGGTGTGCAATTTGAAACTCGGGTATTGAGCCAATAATAAAAGGAGAAAGGGAAAAGGACATATGGAAACGAGTTAAGAGTAACTCTCCACCACTGTAACTAGATACTATATACAGTCAGAAAGTGCAACAACTAGGCACAAAACTGACAGAGTACTGAGACATTCGACGTCCTGACACCTAGCTTCAACACATCTCCGTAGCGCTAACCGACAGCCTTCCAACTTGGAAGGTTCGAGGTTATGGAAAGACCAAAGAGGGGAAGGCAAGCGCAACGAAAACGAGCACAAGCTACAGTCCCAACGGAACAAAGAATGTCGATTGTCACTGGACGATGACGAGACCAGTAGGCGATTTGACAAAGCGGTCTAACTACAATTCGAAGCAGCAAAGCAGCACACCACCCAACTTGGGTGGGTCAAAAATATCAAAGATAAGTTAAGAAGGGGGAAGCTTTGCGAGAACGAATTGTACAAGCCGAAATCTAAACTCCTACAGTACTCCTCATGCATGACATTGTGATGGACTAGTTAACTACAAAACAAGTTGTTTCACACGACGTACGTTTCGCCGTATGGTTCGTGACGGCTCATCAGGTGTGCAATTTGAAACTCGGGTATTGAGCCAATAATAAAAGGAGAAAGGGAAAAGGACATATGGAAACGAGTTAAGAGTAACTCTCCACCACTGTAACTAGATACTATATACAGTCAGAAAGTGCAACAACTAGGCACAAAACTGACAGAGTACTGAGACATTCGACGTCCTGACACCTAGCTTCAACACATCTCCGTAGCGCTAACCGACAGCCTTCCAACTTGGAAGGTTCGAGGTTATGGAAAGACCAAAGAGGGGAAGGCAAGCGCAACGAAAACGAGCACAAGCTACAGTCCCAACGGAACAAAGAATGTCGATTGTCACTGGACGATGACGAGACCAGTAGGCGATTTGACAAAGCGGTCTAACTACAATTCGAAGCAGCAAAGCAGCACACCACCCAACTTGGGTGGGTCAAAAATATCAAAGATAAGTTAAGAAGGGGGAAGCTTTGCGAGAACGAACCTCGAACCTTCCAAGTTGGAAGGCTGTCGGTTAGCGCTACGGAGATGTGTTGAAGCTAGGTGTCAGGACGTCGAATGTCTCAGTACTCTGTCAGTTTTGTGCCTAGTTGTTGCACTTTCTGACTGTATATAGTATCTAGTTACAGTGGTGGAGAGTTACTCTTAACTCGTTTCCATATGTCCTTTTCCCTTTCTCCTTTTATTATTGGCTCAATACCCGAGTTTCAAATTGCACACCTGATGAGCCGTCACGAACCATACGGCGAAACGTACGTCGTGTGAAACAACTTGTTTTGTAGTTAACTAGTCCATCACAATGTCATGCATGAGGAGTACTGTAGGAGTTTAGATTTCGGCTTGTACAATTCGTTCTCGCAAAGCTTCCCCCTTCTTAACTTATCTTTGATATTTTTGACCCACCCAAGTTGGGTGGTGTGCTGCTTTGCTGCTTCGAATTGTAGTTAGACCGCTTTGTCAAATCGCCTACTGGTCTCGTCATCGTCCAGTGACAATCGACATTCTTTGTTCCGTTGGGACTGTAGCTTGTGCTCGTTTTCGTTGCGCTTGCCTTCCCCTCTTTGGTCTTTCCATAACCTCGAACCTTCCAAGTTGGAAGGCTGTCGGTTAGCGCTACGGAGATGTGTTGAAGCTAGGTGTCAGGACGTCGAATGTCTCAGTACTCTGTCAGTTTTGTGCCTAGTTGTTGCACTTTCTGACTGTATATAGTATCTAGTTACAGTGGTGGAGAGTTACTCTTAACTCGTTTCCATATGTCCTTTTCCCTTTCTCCTTTTATTATTGGCTCAATACCCGAGTTTCAAATTGCACACCTGATGAGCCGTCACGAACCATACGGCGAAACGTACGTCGTGTGAAACAACTTGTTTTGTAGTTAACTAGTCCATCACAATGTCATGCATGAGGAGTACTGTAGGAGTTTAGATTTCGGCTT